CGTGAAGCGTAACAGTTGAACCTGGAAAGGCATCTCTACCGTTTTGACTTTGTTCAGCGTTCTCAAGACTAATACAGAGATAAACATACAATTAAGCAACTTGTAACTATAGTGCTAAGTGGTGTTCTGCATTCTGTGTGCTACAGGCTCTGTTCTGTATGCTGACACCCAGCATCCGTGTGAAGTCAATGAGCATTTGGTTGGGTAGGAGTGCCGAACTGAGGTTTTGTAGTCCAGAAGTAATCATCAAACTTACTTGTATTTATGCACTAGTCTTTTCAGAAAATAACGCTGAATGAATACATGATGAAATTATGGTGACCTACATGACTGCATGCCCTAAAATCTTGCTTTGTAACGTCTGTTTCATACTAAATGTTGGTGTTCAAGTGAGCCTTGTTAGCTATTTGACAGTGACAGACAACAATATTTATAAACCTGTTATAATAAATGCCTTTTTAGTCTAAGAAAATGTGTGGTATGGCATTTATAAAAGGGGAAAAAAAAGGTCTCTGTGAGGATAAAGTAGTGCTCTGCTGCTTCCCTGTGTTAACAGTTCCTTCCTGTGCCATGGGCTTGAATTTATTTCCCTAAATAATTCCATTTAAGTCAGTGAATCTGGTTACATCACAGATTAGCAGATGTGGGAGACTACAGTTTTTTCCTTTTTCCACTATCAGACACACAGTGAAAATGTAAATAAATGTAATCATCTGTATTTCATCAAAATATTAACCCAATTGTCACTTACTTTAAGTAAGTAGAATGTATGAGGCTCCTGTGGTGACCTCTGTGCTGAGATTTTGTAACCTGTTTGATGCAACTAGAATCAAGTGCCAATATGACAACTTTGGGTGTTCTTTAGCTACTCTCACCACTGCCGCATTGCTTGGCCAGACAGAGCAGCTCCTGAAGCAGTCAGAACAGGCTTTTGCAGAAAGTGAGAAGACTCAGTTGGATTAGAGACTGGGAACAGACAAGGAGGAACTCCCGTAACGCTCAGCAAGCTAAAGCAGCTGTAGAAGCTTCTCAAACAGTGATGCTTCAGTTTCTGAGATCTCTCAGGTTTCAGCAGGAGTTTTAGCTCCTTGCTGGTGGACTAAGAAGAGTTGGCTCAAGGCACCAAGGGACTTACTGCTTTTACACTGTGTGCTCTGTTCTTGGTATTGCTGCCCTGCGGTTGCAGGCTGCAGGAAAGGATGGATCTCGTGTGTCAGCTACTTGTGCGCTATCCAAGTGATCCTAATCAATAGAGGCCTTAAATATACTCAACAGAGGATCTTAATTCTGTTTGTGCTACGTAACATTTGACAGAGTGGTAAGGCACAAACCTGACGAGAACAAAATACTCTGTTAACTGGATCTCTTTCTATCCAACTCTTGTTCCATGCACTCAGGTCTTACTGGTGCTGTTTTTGCATGCTGGTCCACTGAGTGAACATCTTGGTGTTGGTGCTGCTGACTGCTCTGCCTGATGGCCACACATTTCGTTCCCCTTGTTAACTGAACAAGGTTCATAGTTTTCTACGTGAATCATTCAAGTATAGTGCTGCTGATAATAGCATATACCGAGATACTGAACGAAGTTGTTTCTGCAGTCAAGTTAGTCACTGCTATAATCACTGGGTACAACCAGAGCCAGTGTTCCCAAGAGCTGTTTTTTCATTTTCTTTTTATCACTGTTTTGTAAATTACATTTAGTTTAGGGTCATCTCATTTTAGCAGTTGACCTGCATAAAAGATTAGTTTTTTCTTTAGCCCAATATACAGAGACATGTGCCAGTGACCTAAAGATGCAGTTTATATCTTAATGATGAACTTTAAAAATTTTGTATTTTTTTTCTTTGGTTCTGCTACTATTGAAATTATAGTAGTTTACGTTGAGTATTTTTAATTCATCTGAAGAGGACATTATTCTGTCGTTAAACTGAGGTGAATTAATGAAGTGAGATTAACCTCAACTGAATGTTCATAAATGTTTCAGTAACACAGGTTAAAACAAGCCTCTCAAGAAGGGAGAGAGTTATTTTCTAAATACACAGGCCAGTGCTGACACCTTGTGGCTTCATTGCTGAGTTAATTCAGAGTTTCATGGGGTTATTTCAGGTATAATTCATGATTAACCTGCTGTTGCCAGCGTTGTCTGTCTCCTCTGCTTCATGGTCACCTCAGTACCCAATATTCTGTTATCCTGTGTAAGAGAGCTTGTAAGTAACTTTGTAACTGTATACAATAAGATAATAATTGTAATTTTGGGCTGTGTTGACTGCACATGGAGTGAATAAAAACTAGGAATGCCTGGGATCTCCTGAAGGGGACTCAAAAGCTTCAGTTCCAAGCACAAACTCAAGGGTACTAGTGCAGCAGCAGGCAGAAGTTACAAGCTTCTCTCTTACTAGTTAATACATCGTTTTATATTTCCCTCTACATAGGAGAGCACTGAGGACTATAAATACTTATCACGTGTCTATTTTTAGGCACAAACCTATCTACATTGACACAGAAGCATTCCTTTGCTGCCCTCTTCACCCGTGAAGAAGCATGAATAGCAAAAATACATCCAAAGGGACTGCTGGAGAATTTCTGGTAGTGTCAGACCCTGAGGTGCACTACTTACCTGTGGCCATAAAAATGCCTAAACCACAATGCGTCTGTGCGATTTATACCTAAATAGGCATCTAATCTAAAATAACATAACATTTCAATTCTTAAACAAAATCAGCTGTTAAGGCTGCAGTTGCTGTTTGAAATCTGTTGTGGAATTAAGGTGTGTGGAGCTTGAGGTGTGTCTTGTAAAGATCACGCATCCTCCCTCAGTTGTCACCTCAGAGGTTGCTTTCTGACGTTTATGGTCATATTCTTGTTCTTAAGTGTTCATGTTGCACTGTGTTTGGTTTTTAAATTTTTATTTCTCATATGTTTAGTAGTTTATAATGAATAATAAAACAGAATGGGAAAGTTTTTCTACAGTATGGACCAAATCCTCAGCTTATGTATACCAGTATTTATAGCTTCACTAAGCCAAAGAGGTGACATCAATTTCTATTCCTGAAGAACATGACTGCCTGAGTCTGTTAAGAAAAATCAAAGGAATAAGGATGTCCATACGAAGATCTGATTTGCTGGCATCTCTGCTTATCTGACAGAAGGATTTGTACTCTCAACTCCCCCCCTCCCCGTGTAAATCTTAATTGACACTTGCTAATTGAACTTTAACGCAATAAATGCATTACAATGAGCCACTGGAGTCTCTTTGGCATGCTTCCTCCGCTCTGTAGGAACTGAGGAGAAAAGGTTCAGGTAGAGATGCATACTTGTTACCTATTTTAACACCCTGCCGGGAGGCAGATCTCTCTGATCAAAGAGCAGTGAGTGACAGTATCCTTTCAATGTGCAATAAAAGCTTCTCAAATGGACAACTGCCTGTAATGCCTCATCACCCATCAGGATCAAACAAGGTACCTGTAGGCCTATAAATGCCTCCACTGCATGAAATTAAAGCACTTTGTCGAACCTACACGTGATCCGTGCAGCAGAGGAAAACAAGGAGCTGCAGGAGGGATGTCTATAAGCAGGAAGGGGTGCGTGACTGGGGGGAAGGCTCTGCAGCAAGGACAGGTCAGGGCAGCGGGGCAAAGACTCTGGGGAGCGGGCTGTGCCCAGCTGCAGCTTCAGGATACAACACAGTTACAGGGAGTGTGTGGAAAAAGCCTCTACCTTTCCTCCTTGGCGTGATTATAGGGATAGGTCGGCTATATTCTGTTGTCTTTAAATGGCTCTGTCTTTAAAAGCTGGCCCATGAACAGTTATATTCCTGTTTTACAAGTTAAAATCAATTGAGTTCAGGGTCCTTTCAGGTTTTGGCTACCTGCATCATGCAAGAAACACTCCACTAAAGTCCTGGTGGACACAGCTCTGCCATGATGTTACATAATGTTGAACTTGCATGCAAATCCTAAAAAGTAAAAAAAACCAACCAAACAAAAAACAACCAACCAAACAAAAACACGGCAGGGGAATCAAATTCCATCTCTAGATGCACTTTTCAGTGTTCAGAGGTATTTAATCTCTGTAACATGTTGTAGAGGATATGCTACATCTCTCATTCAGAAGAAAGGAAGATGCCTCTGTGGGTTTTAGGGTAGCATTACCAGCAGCTTTAGTACCAACTGGAGTGTTTTGTTAAACTGCGAGAGGAAAACTGCTGGAGTAGCACAGTGCTAGCACTGAGCTAGTTTCAGTGGCATGGATTCCAGCCCTAATAAAACTTGCTCAGACTAAGCATATTCATTATAGAGGCATTTAGACTACCTGTAGAATGTTAGCTGCTACCCTTATGCATGGACACAGAGGTCTGGTGTATGTCAGGTGCAGTGAATTAGCTCCTCCCTGGATTATTTGCAAAAAAAAAACGTTCAATGAAACATAATGTTACAGATGTCAGGTCTGAAAAACCAGGCAGGACGACTACTTTTTCAGCGGGCCTAATTCCCAGTAAAAGCACCAGATGCTTCCTTGTTAAACATTTAATGCCAGAACTTGTTCAGACAAGGCAGATTCTCCAGCTGGCCTAACCAGTCTTGCTCTCCGCCTTGCAATGACACTGCAAATTTCCAAGTATTTTCCGTTACCAGAGACTAAGCAGGGCCGGGAGAGCAGCGACAGGGCTGCGCTGCTGGGATGGGGAGGAGGACGTGAAGCAAGCCGGCGGGCTCCTTCGAGCTCCAGCTCCCGGCGGCCGCCTCCGGGAACAGCGAGCAAGGCGCTGGGCAGCCTCGCCCGGTGGCCGGGGCGGGCGGGCGGGAGGGAGGGAGGGAGGGATAAAGCGGGGCCCGGGCCAGCCCCGCGCCGCCCCGGCGGGGAGCGCTGCAGCCGGCGCTCCCGGGGCAGGACTACATTTCCCAGCACCCTTCCCCGCCGGCAACTCCCCTCCTTCCCCCGCCGGGCTGGGCGCACGTCCGTGCCCGGGGCCGCGCCGCAGCCCCCGGCCGCCTCCCCGCGCCCTCCCCTGAGGGCGGCGGCGGCGGGCGGAGCCGCGGCCGTGGCGGGCGCCGCGCGGGAGGGGGCGGGCGCCATGGCTGACAGCGGAGAGACCCCGGCGGCTCCGGCCGCGGCCCCTCCGGGCTCGCCGGCGCAGAAGCGGCGGCCGGGCGGCTCCCCCGGCGGCGGGGCGGAGGGCGCGGCGGCCATGCCGCGGCTGCCGCTGGGCGGCCCGGGTGGGGCGGCGGGGGTGTCGCTGCCGCGGCTGGAGAAGCCGATCAAGCAGGCCTTCTACAACACCGGCGCGCTGCTGTTCGCGGGGCTGTGCTGCGGCGCCGCCGTCCTGGTCTACTTCATCCTGGAGGCCTTCCTGCGGCCGCTGCTCTGGGCTGTGCTCTGCGGCACCTTCCTGCACCCCTTCAAGAGCTCCCTGACGGCGCTGGGCCGCCGCTGGCTCGGCCGCCTGCACCGCTCCCGCACGCCCGTCCTGCTGGCCGCCCTCCTCCTCCCCATCTGCTTCGCCAACTACGGGGTGGAGGCGCTGGGCGAGCAGGTGCTGCGGCGGCGGCGGCTCCTGCTGCTGCTGGGCGCCGGGGGGCCGCTGCTCTACGGGCTCTACTGCCTGGGAAGCTCCCTGGGCGTGCAGGTGCTGCTGGCCCAGGCCGCCCGCCTCATCTGCCAGGGGCTGGACTACTTCAGCAGTCAGTGGGTGAGCGCCCGCCTCGGGCGGGAGGGGGTTTCGGGGGGGGGGGGGGGGCGGCGCGGACCCCCCGGGCCCGCCGCCGAGGGCCGGGACGCGGCCCTCGCCTCCCGCCCTGCCCGCCCCGCCGTTGGGCCGCCCGGGGGACGGTTGCGGCGCCGGCCGCCATCTCACTTGTTGCGCGGCGGCGGGCGGGCGGGCGGGGGTTGGGGGGGGGGCCGGGGCAGGCTTAAAGACCCAGGCGGTTCCAATCGGCAGGCGCCTGTTTGAAGTTGCCGCAGTTTTTTTTTTTTTTTTTTTTTTTTTTTTTTTTGGTACGCTAAAGGAGAGAGAAGCTCTCCTCGCCGCGCGCGGGTGGGACCGCCGCCGCGGCAGCGCCAGGGATGCCCGCGCACACACACAAACCGCGGGCAAACCTCCCTCCCCTATAAAGCCCTGTGTAAAAACAGCTTTAAAAGAAACTCCCGCGTTACCCCGCGGCGTGGAGGGGTGTTCGGTGTAAAATCATGTGGGTGCAGCAGAGGCAGATACGTTTTCTCTGTCGATATTTCGGGTCCGTGTAGTTTAGTCATGCCCCAGTTTTGAGATGCTGTGAAGTCTGAGGTAATTCAGTCGAGGTCTTGGGCAAACGTCGGCTCTGTTGAGCTGTGAGATAAGCTTTAAGTGTTGTGAAATAGCAGTTCAGCTCTGAAAGCGACTTGGGGAGGGAGGAAGGCATTTTAAAACTTGTTTCTCGGTGTACTGATTTTGGTTTTTTTCCCCCCTTTCTTAAAGTATCAGATGGTGCAAACACACTTTGAAGGTTAAAAAGTAAAGCTGTTTATCTCACTTACAAATTTTACTTACGGTAATAAAGATTCTGGGTGTTTACTTTTCTCTGTCTTGTCTTCAGTCAGTAGACTATTTAAGAACTGGCAGAACTCCTTTTCACTTTGTTAGTTGTAACTGAAAATGGAAGAAATGCTGCATATCTGAAGTAAATGGATAGGTGAAAGCACAGAAGATCACTGAGTTGTACTGTTATTGAATACTGATGTACGATTAGCATGCTCAGATTGCTTAACGTAAGAGTCTTTTTTTTAAGCTGCTCTAGTTTTATAAACAAGCTAAACAACACAGCAAAGTGGAAAATGACATACACAGTTGGTTTAATGGGCATAGACAGATAAAGCTGATGTTCTTAGGTGGGGAAGAGAGAGAAACTGTCAAGAAAAAAAAACAACTCGATCGAGGTTGTCTAGGCTTCTCATTTTGAATTACACATGTTCTTTGAACACTAGTTTTAATCCTTTGGCGGATCTGGTGCATGCAGATATCTCAAATGCAACTTTGGAGGTGCATACCAGAAATAAAACAGTAATAGTTCTCCTGAATGTACTGACAAAGGATATTTGGAGCTATTTCTAGTGTGAATACAATGGAATAGAAAATGTGTTTTGTCTCTTGAAGGTAAACATTGGAAGAAGAGATTTTCTTGGCTTTTTATTCTGACATGTTGGCATACTCTGGAAGATGTCAGGGGAGACGTGCTTCTGGTCTGTTTTGTTCTCAGAAGTATAATTAAGACTGAGTAGACAGAGACACTGTTTTTATGAAGAAGCAAGATAGAGCCACCTTTACTTTCAGCTGAGTGGTGGAAGAATGTAGTGCCTTGGTGCTGATGGGAAGTTTTGATTAGTTGCCACACAGTTTACTTGGTAAGCTCAAGACTTTCCTTTGCATTAGCCTACCCATTTTTTTTTTAACAAATCAGTGATGTTGCTACACTGACTTGACTAAGTCCGGTTAAGTCTGGTCCTTTATTCAAACTTGGTTCTTTAAGCTGTGCTTGCTTATACTGGGTGGAGTGTATATGTGTGTGTATGTATATATATATATATATATTATATATGGGTACTAAAGGAAGTTGCACTGATTTAACCTCACACCAATGGTTGTAATGCACTGCTGGATGTCTGTGTATGCTCGGTGCAATTTTGTTTATCAGTGTCTGATACTTTTGTTTCGGACCAGTGTTTCTGATATGACACTGTGGTTGTTGGAGTGCTGTAAGATTTTAATCAGGCAAAAGATAGTAAGCTCCCAGAACTCTTCTGACTTGAGTTCTTTGAGAAGATTTTGGGTTCGTGTCACCGTAACTGACCATGGACTTCCTTAAGCAAACCAATTGCTGTAGCTTACTAAGCAAGCTGCCCATGACTCTTTCTGGGGCCCTCTATGAGAAAGAAACTGTAGGATTTCCCATTGTAAACAACCTCAACTCAGCCTGGCATCATCACTTTACAGTGTTTTCCTGTTCCAGTTTCTTGAATTTTGCTGTTACCTGATTTATATTATCCGAGAGCTGTAGCAGGATAACTTCAGTTTATCCATGCTGCTGAGAAGCCTTGAGCTGGATCAGTTAACAGTATCTGCTTTAACTTCGTTTAAGCATTTTAAAGCCGTTTAATTGCTGTGCTATATTGCAAGACTCTGTTTGCACATGTATAGTCTGCTTGCTAGCTGCACAGGAATTCTGGATATTACAAGTCACTTTGCTCCATTGTACTGTTCTTCTCTGGGATCTGAATACTCCACAGTTCCTTCTGTATATTATCTTTCATGAAGATTACAACCATTTTTGTTTGTAGATGCTCTGTGTGATAAGCAAAAGTAATGGTAATTTAATTTCTTGCAGTTTCTTTTAGCAGCCCACTAAGCCAATCTAGATTTCTGTATTTTTTTGTTATTTTGATATGGAATAACTTAATCAGCATAAAATAAGTAAATTTTCGGCTTAGACAGCAAGGAATATTTTCTTGCCATGAATAGGATATATAATTTTTAGCATAATTGATGAGCAAGCATGTCTCATTTTAAGTGTGAGACTAGTATCTGGATAGCGTAGTACATTTGTTTATGGTAATTTTAATCTTGTGAACTATGAATGTTTGTGCTCCAGCCACCAACAGTCTTTGCCTTGGGCTGCAAAGGTGTTCAGTGTAGTTATTCTTATTTGGAGAAACCCCTTCCTGGAAGACCCTGCTGCTTACGGAGAACAACAACATGCATGATTGTCTTCTCCTTTTCTAATTCCCTCTGTTGTGCTAGAGAAGTGAGGGGATGCCTATCGTTAGAATTTGACTGAGAACGATTATGGGGTTTTGGGATACCAATTCAATGTTCTCTTAACTAATGGTATGTTTATGGTATCTATTAGCCCATGGTACGGTGAGAGAAATTCTCTTAAGTTCCAGAAAAAAAGTATTCTCCGAATGCAGCAATTGCATATAATAATGACATAGTAATTTCTATCTTGGCACCAGTACGTTACAGAGCTTTCTTGTACTGTTGTCCTCCAGTCTGGGAATGACATTCATGGTGTTGAATAGCGAAGATCTGGAAATATTCCTGGCTACATTCTTGTCTGTGGCTTTTAAGTCACACCTGCAATTTGAATTAGGAATCCTAGATATTTCCATGATAGGACTGTTTGATAGATGACTGCAAATCACTGCATTTGAAGAACAAGTCCAAGATCTTAGGCTGGTCTGCAAGCGTCTTGTTCTCGCCGTCTCCTTTTATTTGCCTTTGTGCTTTACAGTTCCTGCATCATTGTTGAAGAAGCTTTCTCAAGAAAAGTAGTGGGCTGCTGGGCCTTAAAGATGGGAGCTGGTTATAAATTCCAGATGACTTCCTTGCTCTGGCTCCAGCCTTCTTGATGGGTTTTTTGCAGAAGTCTTGAGTAGAGGACATACATGCTACATGAAATTCAGTTACTTATAATAGGGAAGGGGAGTGTTTTTCTGTATCTCTGTTTTTTTTGAAAAGTCCCATAGTGGACTGAATATACCCTTACATGTTTATATTCTGTGGCAATTTCAGCACGGTTACTCTTGCAGTTAGTATACCTTCTGAAGTCTAATCTTGGACTGCCTTGTCCTAGTTTTGTAGGAAGTATGCTTGTATCCAGCACTGTATCTAAGGTACAGGAAATTCTTCTGCTTTGTGGCAGAAGTTCAGACTACTTTAGGCTGGCTTTTTACACTTACAGTAATATACAGGAAATGCCAGCTATTGGTTGTATTTTTCTTTTTTTTTTTTTTTTTCCCCAGCAGGATTCATATGCTCATATTTATTTAGAAAATAGTTAGTTTGTAGATTCCAACAGATGATACGGATCGTATAGCTGCTCTACATTGACTCTGAAGTACATCTTAGTAAATTAAATCTGATATAATTGGTGGAGTTCTGTGGAGTGAACTTGGTTACAGGGCTGTCAAAGTCTTTTTCCCATGGCCAGTAGTTCTTCCTTGGTTTGTCACAAGTTATTGGTCAGGGTCAGAACTGTGTATTCATGCGTATGGGCATCAGTGTATTTTTATATTTCTGTACTAGGGACATCTCATTTTGTTCTAGTGGTTAGCATGCAGTTAGATGTCCTAGTCAATCCTTTCCTCACTACAGTGCTGGGCAAATCTAGAAACACCATTTGCCACGACCACTGCATTGGATATTTTCAAGGTAGGTGTTGTCTGTTTTGGCCGACTGACTGTCTGCTCCCCATCAGGGAAGCTATCGAAGATCCACCAGGGAAACCTCCATTTGTGTTGGCATTAGATGTCAACAGCCCCTAAAGTAACCCTTTCAGACTGAAATTTTCAAACATGCTTCTTGGCAGACATTTTGGGTCACAGGTTCTAAGATGCTTGGCTTCCACAGTGTATTGGATATCACTTGTGGAGGCAAAAAAGCATCTACATTTTGCCAAGTGCACCTGATGGGGCAGTTTCTCTTCTAGCAAGGGAAAGGGTTAAATTTGACTATAATGTTGGAAGAACTACAAATGAGAAAAACACAGTTCTGATTTTTGAGTTGCATATAATTCCTATTTTTTGAGTGTTTCAGATAGGATTTTTTTTTTGTTTGTTTGTTTGTTTCCTCCCTCCTTACTTTCTTAGAGGTGGCTTTTCTAAAACTTGCCCAGCATAAAAAAAAAAACATATCTGAAAAAGGACTTCTGCTGTTAA